ATTTTTTTTGAAATAAACCTTTCTTAACCCTTTCTAGTTTGACTCTCATATTAAAACATTCCATTTACCTTGTTTATTAATTTGGTTTTGAATTTATAACCACGTGGCAACCTTTTTCAAGAATCTTTCCGAAATAAACTTTCCTTAAACCTCCTGCGCTTGATAACCATATTAAATACTTTATTAAACTTGTTAATTAAAGTAAAAGCTGATTTTGAATTTCTAAACAGGTGGCAAGCCTCTATAAAAATATTTTAGAAATATCAAAATAATTCATTTAACTTGTTAATTAATTTGATCAAGAATTTTCAAAAAGGCGGCAATCTACTATCATAAAAAAGGTTTTCGTAATGAAGATTTCTTAGACCTCTCGTTGATTTGATTCACATATAAAAAATTTTATTAAGCTTGTTGATTAAATTGATAAAATCATTTTTGAAATAAAGCTTTCTTAGACGTCTCTCGTTTGTAACGCAGATTAAAATATTTTAATTAACTAGTTTATTAGATTGATCTCCACATTTTGAACAGGTGTCAACTCTCTCCAATGTTATTCGAAATAGACCGTTTTAGAATTCTTTTCGTTTGACAACCGCAATGTAAAATTTTATTAATCTATTAATTAATTGATTTTAACTATTGAAAAAAGTGGCAACTCTTAAAAAAAAACACTTCCTGAATGTCAGTCCAAGTTTATAATATTAATAACAGTTAAGTCTCGAGCGTTTGCTAGACATGCACATTCGTTCAAAATTAGGCAACGGAGTATTGTCTACTGAACAGCATGCTTAACAAAAAGGGCGCTCTACAGAATCTGCGCTCCATGAGGTAGTGGAGTTTTCGCTAGAAAATAAACAATAAACGTGGAAAATGCGTCACCGAGTGCTCTGAGGTTGAGGGAACTTAGACTGTGGAAAGAACGTATGTACGTACGGGCATGGACGTATCTTGATCTCTTTCATAAGGCTTTCGCACGAGGCGATTTTTCAGGCAACTTTTGCGTTGATATCACGCAGGGTTGCACGAAAAAAAAATTGAATGGCTAAAAATATCAAAATATAAAAAAATATAAAAATATTCGCCATAAAAAGGCGTTTGCATTGTTCAACTTTGCATTCTAATTTTGGTTGAACGGCCTTTCAACTAATCGCTTTCAACGAAGTTGGTCGCCAGCCAACATTTAGCCATTCAACTTTTTTTTTCTTGCAACCCTGCGTGAGTTGAAAGCAAAAGTTGAACGCAAAATCGCCTCGTGCGGGCACCTTTTCAACGACCGCGAAAAATCTGACTGCCTAGTGAAAAATCTGACTGCTTACTGAACGCTTTGAAGTATCCATTTTGACGGACGTCTAAAAATTTATTGTGGCATAGAGGCCGGAATTTTTTCAACTGACATCCAAATCGAAAAATCTATTCGGCTACCAAATGCTACCAATGTTTTTCAGCCAGGCGTGCAAATAATTTTATTCTCAAAGCTATCCGGGACCAGCATTGCTATTTTCTCGTATAGTCAGGCAGCAATCAAGGCACCTGGCTCGGTAAGCATCACTTCCAGCATAATAAAACAGTGCAGAGAAAACGTAATGGCCTTAGCTGATAGGTATGTCGTTGCACTGGGTGGCCGGGCACAGCAGAATTCATGGCAATGAGATGGCTGACGTCCTGACCCACCGGCTGCGCTAAGCGCGCTGCATTTCTCCTAAATCTCAATGGGAAAGATTTATCTCGACTAACTGCCGTTTACACAGGGCACTGGGCAGTTGGAATCCATGCTGCAAGACTAAAACTGGAACACAACACCTCTTTTCCTATCTGTATTTCACCAGATGCAGAAGAAACGGTGTACGACTCGACACTATCCGCATTGTCGACTGTCGTGCTAAAATAAATAAACGACGAAAATCGTCGAAAAGTATGCAGTGCTGCCAAGTTTTTTCCGTTTTAATACACTAGTCGAGTGGACATTTGCGGCAATGACGAGATATTTTCGATATGATTCGACTCTCAAAAACGACTTACATTCGACACGGCACTCGCAGTGAGGCTGAATATTAACCCACTACAACTACTTAAGCTTTTGAACTCCACAAGCTGGATTTGAAGAAATATCCGATCTCTGCTGGTTTCTTTCCGTCTTTTTTCAGGCTAAATTTCGAGTGGTGGTTTTAAAACGACATGCATAAGTGCTAATTTAAGTTGCTAAACTCGCCATTTGAACCCACCCAATTAATTAATAATGAGTTAAGTTATTTCAGTATTTCTATTCATTTACATTCACCAGAAATCGACTGGGTCAATAAGGTTCAAAGTGCAATTATTAATTTATAACTATAGACAAAAGTGTCCAACAATTAAGCAAACACTTTAGTCGAACTAATCCGTACCAACATTTGAACAAAAAATATAATCTATAGTACATACATACATACATAGAAAATCTGTTATAGAAATGTTTGTGTTTAAATCGACGGCTATAATCGATCAATACAATGAACGATGAGCTAATGTGGAATTGATTATATTAGTGTTATCAGGAAAGATTACAAGTACTTAAATATAATGATACGTCAATAAGACAAAAATTATTCGCACTATAACGGCTAAACTATTTAAGATTTTATCGCACTTTAGCTCATTTATTTAATTTCCCCTTTTTCAGCGCACTCTGGGCCTACCTCAAGCTCTTGCGCCTCACCAAAAGATATGAGCGTGAGAATCTTACCATTGCGGACATCTTTCAAATGCAAGTTAAACAGAATCCAAATAAAAATGCGATAATCAGCGATACGCAGAGGTGGACCTTTCGCCAGTTGGAAGAATTTTCAAATCGCATAGCAAACTTCTTTCATGCACAAGGCTATCGAAAGGGCGATGTCGTTGGCTTATTGCTTGAGAATCGTGCCGAATTTGTAGGCATTTGGTTGGGACTCTCCAAAATTGGGGTAATCACGCCACTGATTAATACCAATCAGCGTGGACCATCGCTGTTGCACAGCATCAGTGTGGCGCATTGTAAATCATTGATTTTCGGTGAGAGCTTCAGCACAGCTGTTGAGGAAGTGCGCAATGATATACCACCGGCACATGTAGCGCTATACCAATTCAACGATGAAGCGAATAAGAACGTGATCGAATCGGCGAAGGATATGACTACCCTGCTGGAAACTGTGGAAAAGCGTCATGTAGCTGCGCAAGCGGAGCGTGCTAACCATCATGACCGTCTTGTCTACATCTACACTTCGGGCACCACAGGTCTGCCCAAGGCGGCGGTGATCTCACATGCGCGGTAGGCTTTATATTAGTGTCCATCTTGTGTTATTTACTCTCTGTTAATATGCGCATATGATTTTCAAAACGTTCTAGCTATCTCTTCATCGCGGCTGGCATCAACTATACAATGGGTTTCCGTCAGGAAGACGTTTTCTACACGCCACTTCCTCTGTACCACACCGCCGGCGGCATTATGAGTATGGGTCAGGCGATTTTGTTTGGCTCCACCGTTGCTATACGCAAGAAGTTCTCCGCCTCTGGCTATTTTACTGATTGCGTCAAGTTTGAGGCTACCGTAAGTTTTACATATCATCTATGTCACCCATTTTTTGCACGCTACACCTTTTCTACCCTTCTAATCGTTACAGGTCGGTCAGTATATCGGTGAGATGGCGCGCTACATACTTGCTACCCCTCCGTCGGCAAACGATCGCACACATCATGTGCGTCTCATTTTCGGCAATGGTTTACGTCCACAAATTTGGCCACAGTTTGTCGAACGCTTCAATATTTCCAAAGTGGGTGAATTTTATGGCGCCACTGAGGGTAATGCAAACATAATGAATAACGACAGCACTATTGGTGCCATCGGTTTCGTCTCACGCATCCTGCCGCAAGTTTATCCGATCTCGATTCTACGCGCCAATCCCGACACCGGTGAACCGATACGCGGTGCTGATGGGCTCTGCCAGCTGTGCGAACCCAACGAGCCTGGCGTGTTTATCGGCAAAATTGTTAAAGGAAATTCAGCGCGCGAATTCCTTGGCTATGTAGATGAGAAAGCATCGGCGAAGAAAATTGTTTGTGATGTATTCCGCAAAGGCGATATGGCTTTCTTATCGGGTGATCTGTTGGTTGCCGATGAGCGCGGTTATTTGTTCTTTAAGGATCGTACAGGTGACACATTCCGTTGGAAGGGGGAGAACGTATCGACCAGCGAGGTGGAGGCGCAAGTCAGCAACGTCGCAGGCTATAAGGACACAGTTGTTTATGGTGTGGCCATACCACACACAGAAGGGCGTGCAGGCATGGCTGCCATTTTCGATCCGAATCATGAGGTGGACTTGGAATTGTTCGCTGACAAGCTGGCAAAGGTGTTGCCTGCCTATGCGCGTCCACAATTCTTGCGGTTTCTAACCAAAATCGATATGACTGGCACGTTTAAGTTGCGTAAAGTGGATTTGCAGAAAGAGGGCTTCGATCCAACTAAGATTAAGGATACGCTTTACTATCAGACGCCGAAAGGACGTTACGAACTGCTCACACCTGAAATATATGAGAAAATCAACCGTCATGAGTTGCGTTTTTAAGCTTATGGGCTGATAGGGATCGAGGTGCGCGCGTGCATATTCTTGCGTTGGGATATTGTGTTTGCCTGTTTTTAGAGTTTAAGTATTTTTCCATTAAAAAAAGAAAAACAAAACGTTGTTACGGTAGTTTAGTACACGCTTTGCTCTGACAAAGCTTGCCAACTAAAGATAAATTTTATATCTTTAAACATAATTTTTTAGTATGTGTGTAGAAATTGTTATCTTGCTCTTAGAATTAGTTGGTCAAATAATTTCGTTATAGTTAAACTTTTTGTATATAAATAAAAATTGTTAAGCGAATTTCGAAAACTCTCTTTGGATTGAATAACTTTGTGTAATACTAAATATAATATGACTTAAGTTATGAGAGGCTTAGGTACTTCGATCTAACTGAATTCATTTAAACCATAAGGCGGTTGAGGTTTACGTACCTAATACTGTTAAAGACTATACTTACATACGTATTTTTTATGCATAAATCCGATGCGAAAAATAAAATGAGATTTAATTTTAAAAAGCGCTTTTTTAATTATTTAATGGAATCCACTTTTGGGTACGAAACCTCTGGCGTTTTCTTTTCTAATAAAAATATGTTACCTTCTCATTGCCCTCTCCTGATTATTTTTGCGGAGAGAGCACTGAAAAGGCAACATTTTTCGATACAAAAGAAAACGATAGTAGTCAATGGATAAATTCTTCAACGATCTGACAGCCATCAAGAAAGTGAAAATGCATTTACATGTCATTTAAAGTACAAAACCGCGTATCAAGAAAATGCAAAATCTCGTATGTGAGGTTGGCAAGATTTTGTAGGTGAGAGTAAAGCTAGTCCTATTTGAAAACGGTTCTCTCTTTTATCCCTAATTATCTCTTCTTATTATGTCTAAGAATCGATATTTTAGTATAAATGGAAACGAGCGTGATGCTAGGAGCTTCCGGTGAGCAAATATATTTTTTGGCACAAATGTCAGTTACGAACGCGGTTTTGTTCTCTAAACGACGATATTTGTGTATGTATATGTAAGCTTCTTGTTGAACATCCAGCCAGCAAAGACACGTAAATTTTGCCGACAGTGCAGTTTCGTTCAATTTTCCGTATCCGAAAACGCATAGAAAAAACTCCTACAGTTATCATTAATTTTCGTCTCCGGAAAAAGTTCGAAACGTTCGAAAAAGATGATGTCATTTGAAAGCAATATTTGTATTTTATTTGATCAAGCTAAACATTTGAAAGCATGTATACGTAGTCGGCAGTGGCTGAGCGTGCAGAGGAGTGTGCCGCTATTTGTTAGCTTCCAGAAGGTGCCGGGTTTGAATTCGGTCAGGCGCTTCCTAATTTTATTTTATTTCTTTTGAACCATGAAAAAGTATCTGTGAAGTGCAGATGGAAAACTTTTTGAACGAAAAATTCAATCAGACAAATTTCAAAAAAAAAACAGCCGAAAACGTATTCGTTTCACAAACAATTTTCAGTAGTTTTCTATACATACGTTTCTGCCGCACACTTTAGTGGGAAAACGGATCGTCAAAGTATCCGAAAATGGAATCATTAAACGGAAAAAATCCGCACTTCATCCACTTTTTTGTCCTTTTTCGGATCGGGTTTCGGATTTTTTGCCGGCTGGGATACTTCCGTCGTTAGTACGGCTGTACCTGGTTTAGTAAAACCTTAATATATTTCGTAGTCTTCGATTACACTGTACCACACAAAAAAAATCATAAGGTTCCGGCAATGGATTCTGGTAGAGGGGACAAAAAACAATATACGTTTTGAAAGTTTACTTCTGAGTTTTATTTTGGTGGTCAAAATTTCGTCCTCTGCATATGTTTATGTAGAAAACCATGTGATTACGACGAAGAACATTTTTGTGTAAAATTTTAACAACTCAATAGATGGTCCTTTATTATCTCTTTTGTGAGAATGAGCAAAAAAAAACACATAAAGCAGGAATATAACGGGTTAAAATGTTTTTCAAAAATTCTACTAAAAGTCTCTGAACACACCAAAGCTCAAAAGTCATCTTAAATGCCAACAACAAGTTTAAACCTCAAAAGTGTTCTTTGGGTTTAATTCTGTAATTATTCCGAATTGGTTTTAAAATGTCCCACTAAACGGAATTTTAGAGCGTTAGTGCATATCGATTTTTTTTTTTGGTTACATTTTCTTATAAGTCTCTGGACAAAAAAAAAATTATTTAGTAAAATTTTCTAAAAAATTTACAAAAAGGCTCGCCTATTGAGGAGTTAGAAAATTTAAAATGTGCCACGGAAATGTTCTTCGTCGTTTACATAAAACTACTGAACGCATCGTATGTCGAAAATGATATCACGCCGATTCTGCCGAATAAAACTCACACGTAAACTTTCAAAACGCCGATAAACTTGTCACTTGTACCAAAATCCATTGTCGAAACCTTTTCATTTTGTTGTTGTTGTTGTTGTTCTTTTCTGTAAAACGGACAAAAAACGTGCACCTATTGAAGAGTTAGAGGATTAAATGTTTCCGCTCAGTGGCTCCTAACCTCCACCGCTCCAGAACGGTCTATTGTTATTTCTACTGTCAGCTAGGCTGCTAATAGAACTCTAAAATACAACGGAACAACGTCCAAAGTTGCCACAGAATGCGGAAGCATTCCCAACCTGCTGGAATAAAAATCCTCTTTCAATGTTGTACAACCAACCAACAATCCTTAGCTCTCAGTCGGGGTAATCACCGGACACTGCCTGATGGGCCAACGATTTTTACTGCAGTTGCAAACACAAGGAAAAGGTGGAAAGCATCGAATATTATCCCTACCACTGTCCCGCCCAAGCCAAAACGTGTCAACGCTTATTAAACAAGTACTCTGTAGATTGCCTATCCGAGCTAAACCCAGCTAACATTTTCAATTTTCTATGCTATATAAAAGGCACTCGGTTCAATTATTAAGAGAGAGAAGGAAACAAGTGGCGTCCGCCACTGAGATCACAAGGGGCTTTTCCAGCCTACACCTGCCTCCGTGCTCTGCGCGGCAAAGCGGCGAGCGGCTGAGCGGTTAGCGGCTTAAAATTAAAACATGAAATACTATTAAAGTGGCCACGCAATGAGCGGCATTTCTGAGCGGCGCCATACAGAAATAGCGCTCATTGCGTGGCCTCGGCCTAACCTAATCTAATCTAGATGAGGCCCAACCGCTTGCGATTCCTGGCTGGGGGGTATTTTCAAAGCATTTCTTATCCTCAACCATGCATGGACAAACGCTTCCTAAAGATTTAAGGCCTGTAAATCTAGGCCTACCTGACACGTACATTCGTTCCAAATAAGGCAAAGGAGGAAATGGTCTACTGCGCTGCAAGCTTACCTTAATGAGCGTTTTACAGAATGTGCACTCTGTCAGGTTGTATTGAAGGTAGCATCCTCGCTGCAAAGCAAACAATTTTACGTTCAATTCTGACGTAAAATATGATGACAAGAGGCAGGCAGATCTCCCAGTTAGATGACCAGTCATATGACCAGCAGATGTCTTGTAGGGTTTGAATACACACGTTGGTAGAAATTCGGATTCAGTGATGGCATTGTCGTAGATTTCACGAAAAATCGGACTACGATGGATTCTGTGATAGCCCCCAAATATCTTTCTTTAGAAAGTCAGAAGTTCAGTCGGTGTAAACTGCTCTGGTCCATCAACAGGGCGATGGATGACGACCAAGAAAAACAAGCGCGATAGCTGGACAATCTGAAAATCTCTATCCGGCAGAGGCTGCGGTTTTCGCAGACCCCGCACGCAATGGAGCCGATCAGGTCAAATAAGAGTGGGAAAGACTCCCACCAACGAATGTAGGGAACAAAGACCTCCAAAAGGTAATTAAAGTGAGAAGAGCACGACAGGTGGCAGCACCCAGTAGATTCTCGCGCCTATGAGGTAAATAAAGACCGTGGGGTAACCGAGGAAAATAAGACTCAGCACACCTGCTAAAAGCATACGATAGAAACGAAAACAATGGGCTTGAGTGAAGCAAACCCTCGCCAACACGCGCTGGCATGAAACGAAGCAGGAAGCTTCTCGAAAGGCAATCATAAAGCTGGATCTCAGCGGAACCGACCTTCCTACCATCGAAAGATTAGCTACAGCATCCTCGAGGTCATACAAACTGAGACAGAAGCTCACCATTCCCGGCGTCACGACATCGCGCCAAAAAGGCTTGCGGGCAAAATGACCTCCTCACTCCATCGACAGCAGAGGAATCACGCCACTTCGCGCACAACACCTGAGAGCCGTTCAATCAATGTCTGGTTATCACTACCCCCTCGTTAATCATCATTATCTACATTTTCGACATCGTAAGTATAACATGTGATCGATACAGCAGTGGCTGTACTTAACCGGAGCTTCTACCTCCGATTTGTGTTAACCAGAAATTGAACAACCGGCTCTACGAGGATTGCAACTGAAGACCGCCAGCCCCAGCTCACCGTTCGCAACATTACCCAGATGAGAGACACATGTTTTAGGGTCGTAAGACCTCGCCTTAATTGAACGCATCACCGCATGGATGGAAGAGGCAGGCTTGAATATCGAAATTTCGTTGAACTGTTTTACGGAATATCCTTATTGTTTTCCTTATAAAAAAATTTAAAAAGTAGGATTATGCTTTATAAACACATTAATTTTTATTTATATATTTATGTGTATGTATGTATTTATATTAAGTTTATATTCACTATTTTACTTCACAAATGAATGTTGCATTTCCTTAAAACCAAATTATATATTTCTGCATTCATACATCCATTTGCATTTTTTATACTTAAAAACTACAGTTGAACCTTAATGTACGACTACTACAATTTGTGAGAAAATATTGTATCCAGCCATATAAATTGGCGCTGCATTTATGGCAACCTTGTTTTGCAAGGAGAACAAATTTTTCTTTTAGATTATTGCTCCGCAAATGCAAAATTTCTTAAACAAACTTTTACATTGAGTAAAAAATATACGTATGTTGTTGTTAAGTAAAAAATATACGTATATAGGTTGCAGTATATGTATAAACAAAAACAAATATCTCACATAAAAAACAAGCTCATGTACGCTTATTGAACAAAGTAGACAATTTAAGTGTTTCTTTTGTTATTTCTTTGTTTTGCTATGTACTGCGTTAACCATAGTTATTTATGCGTGTGAGTATACTTTTAAATATCAGTGTGTAGCTTATATTTATTTTTTTTGCGAGATATCGGTTTTATTCAATTTGTTTCAGTTCATTTTTAACAAAACTTTTTATATTGTTTTTAATCTTGCTCAAAGCGGGAAGGTTACGAATTTAACTTTGAAACTTGCTCTTTGGAGAAAAAAAAATTAAGTGTTATTAAAAAGTTTAAGGTACTTTTTAAAAAATGAAAAATTTATTTTGAAACTTATTAAGTATTGTATATAAATAGATTATTTGGAAAAATTAGCTATTTAAATAGTAATTGTTTTTTATTTTGTAAACAACGGTTTCAAATTAAAAGTTGGTTTGAAATTTTTG